GCTTTGTAAAAAACCTCTCATAAGCTAACTCTTTTTCTCTTTATCACACCCGTTACTTCATCATTCCACGAAATCCACTCCCTTTTTCCTCCTGCCCCCACCCTCCATAACCACAAAACTTCTGCCCCACATTCTAATACTACTGCAGTTTTTAAAACTATTACAACCCTCTTCAAAACCCCCCCCCACTACCATCCTTTGCACTAGCCCACCTTTCAGCAATATCGCTTCATATCTCCCCTGAACTTCCTCCTCCCTTATTTTATTATACACTTTCACCTCCCTCTACTTGTTGTTGCCACCTTCCTCTTTTCCCATCTACCTCTACTCTAACTGTAGCTACAACAAATAATGATCCATACAATAAGTTGCCCCCATAAACAGTACATCCTGAGCCTACCCATCAACCTTTTATCCACCAATACATATCTAACAAACTACTTTCATTACGTCTACAATCAGACTTGAAATTATTATCCTCTTTTTCATAAAATATGTATTACTTATTACACATTTCTTTTACACATTCCAATTAAAGGCTCCCCATTTTAATTACCCCTGCACCCCCCAAATGTTCCTACTAACACCTCCATAACATTTTAACCCACTTTAGCCTTGAAATCCCCAACCACCATTACTCTCACACTTGGAATTCAAAACTCCCCACGCATTTCACTCAACATTTCCCAAAATCTCTCTCTCCTCCTCTACACTTCTTTCTTCTCCAGTGCATACACGCTTACTATAACCCACTTTTCATAACCAATCTTTATTTTACTCCACATAACCCGTTGTATTGATTCATTTATAGTCCCTCTTTCCTGCCATAGCTTATCCTCAACATTTTTGCTACTCCTTCTTTAGCTCTAACTCTATTTGAAACCCCTGACCTAATCCCATTTATTCCTCTCCATTGTAACTCTCCCACACCCCTTCAGCTTTTGTTTCACTTAAGCCAGGACATCCAGCATCTTCCTCATGTCAAATTTGGTAAAACATCACAATCAACTCTTTCTTTTCATCTGCACAACATCCACGCGCACATTCAGACTTTCCACCTTTACATTTTCTTCTTATTCTTTAAGTAATCTTTACAGAAAAGGGGTTACTAGCCCATTGTTTACCGCATTTTAGTTGATCTTATACAACACGCAATGCTTATGGAGTGAAAGATTCTTATTCCAACTTCCCCATATATAAAAGGAAAAGTAATAAGAAGACCAAGAACTATTAAGATAAAATCCAAAGAAATCTCAGATGTGTGTATAAATAAACGTGTACATTGTATGTGTAATGTGACCTAAGTGTAAGTAAATTAACAAGACATACCTGTAAATCCTGCATATTAAGGACAGACAAAAGATATCATCAATCCTAACCGATCATTTAAACTATTAAAGCTTTCGTTTTACACTCTCTTGGCAGACGGTATACCTCCCTGGGTGGTTGCTGTCTACCAACCTATATATATATATATAATAATATATAAAATATATATATATATATATATATATATATAGATATATATAAGATGAATATATATAAATATATATATATATATTAATATATATAATATATAAGTATAAAAAAAGATGGCAGTACCACCTCTAGAACTGTTAAGGGACCCTCATCCTCAGAGAAAATATAAAACTTGCTTCACGAGGAAAACTCAAGTTCGCCCTGAAGATGTTGAGAATTTTCTCCCTAACCCACCCCCCCGATATTTCAAGTATGTTTTATTTATAGACAAAATACATTGCCAAACATTCACAAAAATACAACAGAAAGTAAAACATCATAGGTAAATCAGAGCTACATCTCGAATACTTCGTCCAGCTCCCCTGCGGTGGGCCGCGTGCCCAGATGCTGCAGGCATTTCCTCTCTGGATCGCAACACTGAGTCTCTGAAAGAGGAAGCTGGTCGCCCTGTGGTCCTTGGTTTCTATGATGAGCTTTTCACCCAGCTCTTTGAGGAACTTTAGAGCACACTTGCCCCATGCTCCAAGGGTTTCCGACCCTATTGAATGAAGTTATAGCAAGGGGAGGGTCTTCATTATTTTCGGATCTTCGGGGTCTCTCTGTGGCTGGCAGCTCCACCCCCTTCCACTACGGAGTATGGCAAGTAGGTGTCTGCCAATGTGGCAGCACAGGTGTAGTCCCAGGCAATCTGCTTTCCATCCTTCCAGGGTAGCATAGTGGCTCCATCAGGACGCTTTTGACTTCCATCAGACCTCTGTACTTGGGGTTCCGTTGAGCTGGGCAACGGGCTGTGGCGAGGCTTCTCTTTATTATGTCATTGATCTCCTCATGTCTGACATACTTCCCTTCTGCTGTGTGGCACACGAGACCATGAAGTCCGAATTGATCAGCTGTCGCCCAGCCGCAAATACACCTATGTTCGGTGAGGATGGGGGCGGCTAGGAGAAGAGCAACACCAATCCGAATGGCCTGTTGGGTCGAGACGGGTGCCCAGGGAGGAATTGGGAACAGCTAACAGGAAATCTCCTGAGTGTGGTGCCTTCACTGCCAGGAGACGAGCTTTGTTCTTTCCTGAAGCATTGGAGAGCATTTTTGTTGGCGATTTTTTTCCATGATCGGTTTGTCCCATGGGAAACTGTTTGTGCTTTTTGGGGAGGAGCTGGTCTACTGGAGGAGTCTGTAAGGGTGTCCCACCGAATCGCTGCTTCAGTAAACCTGGGGTCTTGAGCTCCTACCAAGTCTCTCAAGTGTTCGGGCACTATCTTCTTGACTAATGCACTTGAAGCTAAACACGAAGACGGAAAAGCAGGTAAAGCAACATGCGTTGCTTTACGCACCCCTATACCTCCCAGTCGTACTGGGAGGGTTGCCTGATCCCATTGCTCATCCTCTAGTGACAGGTTCAGTGCCTTCTTAAAAGTTGATCTCAGGTGTGCGTCATATTCATCGAGTTTTGGGTTGTCAAAAGAGGGTGCCCCACCTCAAGAAGTAAGTGAGTCTTGGCATATTAGAAACCCCTTTTGAGGAGATACAGAGCATCATGGCATCAAGATCGCTTATTCTTCCTCCATTCTCATCAGGTCATTCAATTTGTCCCTGAGGACAGTATCGATGGCCTGGTGACCCAGCGGTTGCCCCCAAGAGGGTACTGTTGGACGGAGTTTGTAGTTTGAGACTTCTGGGGGGATTCTTCGTACAGCATTGATTATTTCCTGGGTTTGCTGTGATGATTTCACACTTGGAGGGATTGAGGATGAGTCCCAAGTCTTCTCCCTGTGTTTTCACCGTTGTAGGTCCCCCACGAGGGACTCTTCAGTACCTGCCAGAGTGCCGTCATCCAGGTACCAATATTGAGCTCACTGCGTAGGCTGGAAGTTAGTTCTCTTAAATGCCAAGCAGAAGAGAAGTGGAGCGAGTGGGTCACCCTGCTGAACACCCTCTGATGATTGAATTTCATGTTCTCCAAACAAAAGAATTGAGGGTTTGCTGTAGTCGGCTGAAATGAAGGGAAAGAGACTGGGGAACCGAACCCGAACAGCTGGCAAAACAGCATCTCTCTTCACCATAAATTTAAAAGGGATTTCTAAAATCAAGTTTGACTATGGCCTTGTCTTCTGGTAGGTCCCTGATGTAGGCCCTTGTCGCATGAGCTGCAGCTTCACTGCCTTGAGAGACCCCAAAGCCCAGTTGGTGTGGCTGGAGTAAAGTGGCAGCTTCTAGGCGAATGTTTCTCACTGCTGCTTTGGCAACGAGACGGCGAAGAGTGTTTCCAACTGCAATGGGTCTGATTCCCCCATCCCTCTTCTTCAAAGCACATAGTAAGGCTCCAAAAAAGAAAGGTTTAATTTCTTCTGGGATTCGCTCAGCCAGGCAATTGTTGACGAAAGTTGTTAACTCGTGAGAAGAATTGATGCAGATTCACCGAGTACTGGATTTACCATCTCTTTGAGGTGCTGAGGTCGAATTCCAGTGTAACCTCCTGCAGATCCTGCTGGAAATGACACCATCGCCTTATAGACTTCCGATTCTGGCAAAATTAATTGTTCAGTGATAGGTTATATACATATATATATATATATATATATATATATATATATATATATATATATATATATATATATATATATATATATATAAATATATTATATATATATATATATATATATATATATGACATCTAACGTCTCACTTCTTTCCCAGAATTGTCTGTTTTTTTCTTAATAGTTTTCTTTTAAGTCTTTATTGCTTAATATTTACAATACTGTGAGTACCAGCTGACACTTTCCCAGACCAAGTACCAAGTACCAAGTAAGAGTAAATTCAAGGACTGTACTTGGGGTAATAAAATTGAACACTGTTGTATATGAGAGTATTTACCAGACATTTAGATAAATATTCCAGGGAATTTCTCAGTAATAATATTATTTTGTCCCCGGGATGCGACCCACACCAGTTGACTAACACCCAGGTACCTATTTTACTGCTAGGTGAACATGGACAGCAGGTGTCTTAAGGAAACACGTCCTAATGTCCCATTTTACTGCTAGGTGAACATGGACAGCAGGTGTCTTAAGGAAACACGTCCTATTTTACTGCTAGGTGAACATGGACAGCAGGTGTCTTAAGAAAACACGTCCTAATGTCCTGTTTTACTGCTAGGTGAACATGGACAGCAGGTGTCTTAAGGAAACACGTCCTAATGTCCTATTTTACTGCTAGGTGAACATGGACAGCAGGTGTCTTAAGGAAACACGTCCTAATGTCCTATTTTACTGCTAGGTGAACATGGACAGCAGGTGTCTTAAGGAAACACGTCCTAATGTCCTATTTTACTGCTAGGTGAACATGGACAGCAGGTGTCTTAAGGAAACACGTCCTAATGTCCTATTTTACTGCTAGGTGAACATGGACAGTAGGTGTCTTAAGGAAACACGTCCTAATGTTCCCACCCGTACCGGGGATCGACCCCCAGGTGGACATTCAGGTAGATCATGCTGGGTAGGTTATATTAGATACGAACCCTTATTTATCTAATTTATTTACGATATAAATAAACACCAGCCAAAAAAACACATTTGTATTGTACAAACAATATATTTTCTCAATTACAATTTCGTATTTTGATTCTCATACAAACTATAAACATATAAATCATCAAATGTCAAAACGTCACTACACGATTTATATTATTTAAAAAAACAGCAGATTTGTACCATCAGTATTTCTTTAAGATCGTCAAAATAATCTTTGATAAATCTCAGTGGCTGCCATGTACTTATTAGTTTGTGGTTATGGGACTGTTTACCTCAATCTGCTTCTGATCGTCAGTATTCTTCTTTGGATAGGACTGATGAAGCCACTGTGTGGGCGAAACGTTGTCACAATGAAGATACCCAAGTGTAGCACATGTGTCTAATGTATCAACTTGTCGGTTCTCTTGAATCATTTATCTGGAGATTGTGGTTATGTGAAAAGGCATGTATGACACTGTCAATACATTTATTGAGGGCACGTTTCGCTCACTAGGAGCTTCTTCAGGAGAACGTTTCGCTCACCAGGACCTTCTTCAGGAGAATGTTTCGCTCACCAGGATCTTCAGGAGAATGTTTCGCTCACCAGGACCTTCTTCAGGAGAATGTTTCGCTCACCAGGACCTTCTTCAGGAGAATGTTTCGCTCACCAGGACCTTCTTCAGGAGAATGTTTCGCTCACCAGGACCTTCTTCAGGAGAATGTTTCGCTCACCAGGACCTTCTTCAGGAGAATGTTTCGCTCACCAGGACCTTCTTCAGGAGAATGTTCGCTCACCAGGACCTTCTTCAGGAGAATGTTTCGCTCACCAGGACCTTCTTCAGGAGAATGTTTCGCTCACCAGGACCTTCTTCAGGAGAATGTTTCGCTCACCAGGACCTTCTTCAGGAGAATGTTTCGCTCACCAGGACCTTAGCAGTTAGTAATTTTCTTAAGCATGCAAAACAACCACAGGGGGAGTTGAATGATAGCTCTAGGCCTTTCATGCTGAAATCAACACATCTTCAGGAGCTTGCAATGTTGCAGAAATGAGTAGGAAGTCCAGATAATTCCTTCAGGGCTCCAGTTAGGGCTCCTGATGATGCGTTAATTTCAACACGAAAGGCCTAGAGCTATCATTCAACTCCCCCTGTGGTTGTTTTGCACCTTGCATCCCTTGTTTGAGATTATTGCTTAGTAAAGCATATTTAGTGTATTCAAAGGAAACACTAAACTCGCAGGGGTAATATAACAACCGGGGAATAAGAGACGATTAAATTCGACCCAAAGCTGGGTGAATCCAGTTCCTTGGATGAAGAGCCCCTCCCCTTGAGGGGGGACTAGTGCATCTTACACAACTACTCTTATTTTATTTAAGGAATAAAATTGATTTTATCCCAGATAAAATATCAAGTAATGACGTAGAAGATAAGATAAGATTTCGTTCGGATTTTTAACCCCGGAGGGTTAGCCACCCAGGATAACCCAAGAAAGTCAGTGCGTCATCGAGGACTGTCTAACTTATTTCCATTGGGGTCCTTAATCTTGTCCCCCAGGATGCGACCCACACCAGTCGACTAACACCCAGGTACCTATTTGCTGCTAGGTGAACAGGACAACAGGTGTAAGGAAACGTGTCGAAATGTTTCCACCCGCCGGGAATCGAACCCGAGCCCACCGTGTGTGAAGCGGGAGCTTTTCGTTCTCCAAGACGTTTGCCAACCTGTTATGGCTTGACGAAGCTCCTGGAGAGCGAAACGTTGCCATAATATCACATTAGTTGCATCAGTGTTCATTTACCCAACATAAGACGTCTAGTTCAAGTTGAGTTCCTTCATGGTGACGTCTAGTTCAAGTTGAGTTCCTTCATGGTGACGTCTAGTTCAAGTTGAGTTCCTTCATGGTGACGTCTAGTTCAAGTTGAGTTCCTTCATGGTGACGTCTAGTTCAGGTTGAGTTCCTTCATGGTGACGTCTAGTTCAGGTTGAGTTCCTTTATGGTGACGTCTAGTTCAGGTTGAGTTCCTTCATGGTGACGTCTCTCATGACGAACTTCTGGATCTTACCAGTGACTGTCTTGGGGAACTCGTCCTTAAAGAGGATGTAGCGAGGCACCTTGTAATGTGCGATCTGTAACACATGTAAGAGGGGCCATAAATCATTGAATGTATTTACTGTTAGTAGTAGTAGTAGTAATACTAGTAGTAGTAGTGGTAGTAGCAGTAATAATGGTAGTAATAGTAGTAATAACAGTAATAGTAGCAATAATAGTAGTATTGATAATATTAGTAGTAATAGTAATAATAATAATAGCAGTAGTAGTAGTAGTAGTAGTAGTAGTAGTAGTAGTAGTAGTAGTAGTAGTAGTAGTATATAAAATATAATCACACAAAGTTACAATTGCCACCATCGTTTAAATACCACCAGTGAATTATTAATGTCAAAAGAGTCCACTTCGAGTGACCCCCACCACGACTTGCAAGACTTGTGCAATGTGCAACACAAGATCACAGTTTTCCAAACACTGTGTACAAGTGGAGTATAAAGGGATGTAAATCCCACAGTATGAAAAGCCTTTCGGGAAAAATATTTTAACGTTCGTAATACCTATAAAAAAATATTTTAACTGAAAAAAATTGTTAGCTGTTTCACAAAGGTATTGGAGAAATGTTAGTGTATATATATATATATATATATATATATATATATATATATATATATATATATATATATATATATATATATATATAATATATATATATATATATATATTTCTTTCAACACACCGGCAGTATCCCACCAAGGCGGGGTGGCCCAAAAAGAAAAACGAAAGTTTCTCCTTTTATATTTAGTAACATATACAGGAGAAAGGGTTACTAGCCCCTTGCTCCTGGCATTTTAGTTGCCTCTTACGACACGCATGGCTTACGGAGGAAGAATTCTGTGCCACTTCCCAGTAAATAGGTTATATCACAATATACGAAACAACCACTGTGAAAAAATACCGAAATTCCAAGCGCTTTTGTGACTCCTCACACTAGACAACATACATATATAATCTGCTAGTTAGCACACAGCCCGCAATTCAACTAGCAATTCAAAGCAATAATATCTACGTTTCTTTCTCCCTTTAGGGAAGGTACCTTGATGCTGGTGAAGGGATCTTGATTCAAGACATTGCAGCAAACACATCCTGGTTTACTCCCACT